TCCTATATGCAGATATTTATTTATATAACAGATACTTATGCTTTTTATTTCCTAATAAGAATCCTCAGAAACCAGCATTCCATTTAATCAGTCAGGTTACTCAATATAAAAAGAATATTAATTTATGTATTCCATTTTGAAACAAACAGCCACCAAACAACCCAACAAAAAAACCCACAACAAAAAACCTAACACTGACCACAGAAGTCAAATGGAACTTTTTGACTGCTTAAGGCACAGCCAAATCTAAACAGAGAAAACCTTAATATTGTTCAAGCACTACTAACAACAGCCAAAACACTGGTGCGTTATCAGCACTGGTTCAGCCACAAATCCAGAATAACATGACACCATACGAGCTGCTATGAACAAAGTTGGTTTGCACTTGGCCACAGAGAGAATTATTTGTTTATTATCCAAATCCAGCTGTCTTCTGATAAAGATTAAGACTAGTGCAAAATCCATGCTAACTTGTTAAAACAAATACCACATCAATAAGAGGCAAATAGTTAAAATGCTGATGGTCTGTTGACCTCACAACTCTGACTTTTAACAAACCACACGATAATTTTATAAAACTCAGGACTGCAAAGGAAGTATTTAGAGAAATCAAGCAGTACACAGAAAATCTGGAACCAATAAAAAACCCAAAACCTTCAGACTTACAGTTTTCTTTTTGCAGGACAACTCCAGCCCTATGTAGCTCTTTGTCATTTTAGCAGCAGGGACAAGAATTAAGTCGCTTAAGCAGTTTGAGCCCCCAGGTGATATCAGGACTTCGGTTATTGCTGAAAAGATGCCTATGAGCTTCACTCCACCACAGGTGTGCTGAGCACTACTTTGGTGCAGATGATTTCAATAATATTCTGACCTGAATGTAGTCCATGGGAGTTTTACCACTGATTTCAGCAGAGCCAGGATTTCATGCAGTGAGATACTATAATTTAGATTAGTCTTGTAAATTGCTTAGAAGCTAATTCACAATACAGTGAAGTCAAAGGGAGATGTATTGTATCAAGTTAAATTCAATTAATTATTTGTATTTAATAGTATTTAATTAATTTTAATGAAAGCTAATCAGATTTTTAGGGCTTTTCTAGGAGGCAAAACCTTTTTTATTCTAAATGATGTGTTATTCCAAGTTTGATGATATTATGAGATATCTTTTAGCTCTTTGTATATAAGTTTCTGGTAAGGGATTAGTTTTTTTAAAGAGTGTTTTCATTTTCATGTGAATAAAAAGAGAAAAACCCTACCAACCCTAATTATTAAGTTATAGAGACTTAGTTGGGCTAAGTGAGTAGGATTTCCAAGACTTCTGCCTTCTCATATTGACTAAGGCAGATGAAGCATAAACACTTTTAAATGATCTTATGATATTTGCCTTTTATTAGAGTTGGATGTCCCTTACAGGTCTAATATTCATTTTATTAAAGTTCAGTAGATCAGCAGTAATTAGCTACCTCACATGTAGATGGACAATCAAGTTTTCAGTTATTGGATTTTAGAATAGATATTGCACTGTCCTAATTTCCCTATTGTATTCCTGTGCATAGCATTTTTTTTTCTTTCTTTTCTTTTTGGAGCCACTGTATACTAAACCTTTTGGCTAAGCATGTCAGAAACCAGAATATTCTAAAGGTTTTCTGAAAATATATTTCCTATAATTATGCTGCTATAGAAATCATGCTATAAACTAACAAAGATTAAATGCTTCTCATTTAAAACCACCTGATACTAAAATACTCTCAGCTGAAAAGAAAATAATTTGAAGCTGTGTTCCACAGAAAAGGCTGTTATTGGATGATGTGACTCAGGTCCTATGAGCAATTTAGTAAGGGCATCTAAGAGACAACAGCTTAATATCACCAGTATGTAGTAAGAACAGAACACTCTCCCAAACCAGAAATACCCTTCCGTTGAATTCTGTGCCTCTTCCTGTGCAAGTCCAGAATCTGACTTTGCCATTAGTCCTTCAGGACTGGGGACATCAAAGTACAAGTATTGTATTTGTGTACAGACTTTGGCTTTCCCTTCTCCCTGTGTGTATTCATAACCTAAGCACAAGAGGCATGAATCATTTCTGCAGGTTTTGTGGCTCTGCTGCAATGTAATATCAGTAATGTACACTTTAAACATTTACCATACAATTAATTCAGAAAGTAAATAAAGTCATATAAATTAAAATAAGCTTTTATGATTAATCATGCAAATATGGTAATCTTATTAGTGTGGTGAGAGGCAGAATTTAAATATCACAGAGAATGAAATCAGAGAGATTTATTTTCAGATTGATAGTAAACAAACGGGTTTGATTTTTCTCTGCTCATCTAAATTGAAGTTTCTCTTCCTGAACTGTGCAAAAATTAACATCTGAGTCAGCAAACATTCACACCAATTACAGGAGTTGCTGTTAGCTTGCAGACACTGGAAATGTTAGAGCTGATGGTCCTCAGGTATTTTTTCTTGCCTTCAACATTCAAGATGTTTTTCACTGTTTCAAAAGGTTATTCATCCTTCCACAAAGGCCTTCTCCCATCTTTGTCACTACAGGATTTTACTTCCTATTTGAAGACCAATTGGCCTAGGAAGTTGGTTTCAAAAGAAATGGATAAAAGTCTTTGTCCTGGGTTTGAGTGAGTGGTGAGTTTTTTTGGTAGCAGGGGAGGGGGCTATAGGAGTGGCACCCTGTGAGAAGCTTCTCAAAATTCCTCCAGCTTCAAGTTGGTCCCACCTCTGCACCAAAACTGAGCCAATCAGCTGCTCCTCTGCGATAACATATTTAAGAAGGGACATGGTGAGGAGGAGTCGGACTTCTGAGGAGGAGTTGTGGCAGCTGCGTGAACACCAAGGTCAGTGGAGGAACAGGGGAAGAAAGGAGGTGGAAGATGCACTGGATAAGAAACCCCCCTGTATCCTGTGGTGAGACAAGTCAGCTCCTGCCCCGCCACCCATGGAAGTTTACAGTGGAACAAATGCTGACATACGGTCTGGGGGGCCTCACACCACTTAAAGTTATTGTGCCCAAAGAAGGCCGGGATCCTGTGGGAAGAAGCAGCTCTCATTCTTGTAGTTCAGCACTGGGAGGACTGCAGCCTGTGGGAGTGTCCCACACTGGAGCAGGTCAGGAAGGGCTGCAGCCGTGGGAGGGACTCCAGTTGAAGAAAGTTGGTTTCCCACACTGGAGCAGCTCAGGAAATGCTGCTGCCCGTGGGAGGGGGACAAGTCAGAGAAAAGTTTTTGGAGGACTGTCTCCTGTGAGAAGGGGACCACGCTGGAGCAGGGGGAAGAAATTCCAGAAGTTTCTCCCCCCTGAAGATGGAAGAAGTGGCAGCACTGACTGCACCCCCCATTCCCTGCCCCTGCGCCGCTGGGGGTAGGAGGAGGTAGAGATATCGGGAGCAGAGCTGAACCCGGAAGAAGGGAAGGGTGGGGTATGTGTTTTCAAGATGTGGTAATTCTTCTCACTGTTCTACTCTGACTGTTAAGTGTTGTTGTTAGTGCCTGTAATAAATCTATGTTATTTTTTAATTCCCCTAATGAGTCTGTCTTTTGCCCATGACTGTAATGGGTGATTCATCCCTCCCTGTCCTTATCTCAAATCCTGAGCCTTTGCTTATTTTCTTTTTCCCGGTGCCAGGCAGGAAGAGGGGAGTGAGTGGCAGTACAATGATTTATGCAGTCTCATTTTGGAAGACCTGTGTCAGAAGAATGAGAAGAGATAGAGCATCTCTAGGCATTCTCTAGGCATTGTTTTCTTCAACTCATAAAAATTAGCGTTGATTACTAGGAAGGAAAGTATTCGCTTCACCTGCAACTACAACATATCCAATAAATGTATTTCTAGCACAACCCACTAATTTCCTTGTAGAAAAGCACTGGGAAGCCAGACAGATTCCAAACACAAAATGATCCAATATGCTTTTGTAGAGAAAAATCACCAAAGCTGGATAGTTACTTTTCACAAAGCTTCATTTGCCTGACATTGAAAAAGTCAAAAAGGGGGCCAAATTTATGACTATTCAATAACAAACCTATGTTATGAATTAACTGGCTATTTTACTAGCTTAGACCCAATATGTCATGCGAATATTGACTGAGTTTAAAGAATATTATCCTTTTATCACTTTTTATATTAATATATTTAAGAAATAACAACACTTTGATTTAAAAAAAGAAATCAGAATACTGTACAGTCTATAGAAAAATAGTTGTTATTGTAAAGATGTAAATTCAATAAAGTATTTTCAACATTTCTGCATTCACATATTTACATTCATTAGAATCAGCTCCTCAGCTTTTCTAAAATATAACAGGAAGAAGCAGTAGGGGATAGCATTTCCTAATGAAAGCTTGTCTGAAATTCAAAGTTACTTGATAATTTGGGTAGATTATTTTATTTTATTCACAAAAAAAGTGAGTTCAAGTTAATATTAAAAGTAAATAATCTTAAAACCAAGCAGAAAATATTGAAACAGACTTTCATTAAATACCTGTAATATTTTTATTACAGTCTTAATTTGGTAAAATGAATTTAATCATAACATGACCAAATCTGATTTAAATTGTGGCAAGTTAACTGCAAGCATGTACCTAAGTGCTTTCCTGAGTTAGTAACTAATGGAACACATATTAGCTTGTGCTCCTTGCATCTACTATTATCTTTTATTAATTTGTTAATAGGTTTCCCTTAATAGAACTGAAATATGTATAGGAACATTCCCATCAATAGTAAAATGGAAAGTACAATAATTCACAGTACTTTAAATTTTAAAATTTATCATTTATATCTTAAAAATTTATTTATAAACATTTTCATAATGTGCAAGCATCAAATGGGTTCTCCCATGAATTATCTCAGTAATGAAGTAGACATGGAAAATATTATTGATATTATCCAAGAAAGTATGCAATGTTTCTTGAAAAATTTACTTCAGTAAGGTCTGCCACAGACTTCACATGTGATCTTTATACTGTAATTAGATACAAATCTCAGAAATTATTCAGGCAGCTAGCTGTCAGTAAAATCAATGTGAGATAGTTGCCTAAAAAAGGAGCTAAAAGTTTAAATACCATCATATCTCTGACCCTTAATCACTATGACAAAGTTCATCTAAAGATCACACATTCACTTTAATCTAATTACCAAGGCTCCCTTTTTAGTCAGAATAAAAACGTAGATGAAATGGCTCCCTCATTGGAATTTCTATCCAGCGACCCTAGGAAAAAAAAAAAATCTAATTAGTCCATTATTTTTAAATTTTTTTGGTCAGAGGTGAAGAAAATGTCACTCTCGGCGCTTTATTTTTCTATCTTTAACCAAGGATATCGAGATAGGACTTCTGTGCCCAGCAGTCAGATGTGGAGGAAGCCTTGCAGAGAAACGGTCAGTCTGCCTACATTACTAAAATTGGTCAAAGTGTGTTATTTCCACAGCTCATGGATGGAGATGTGTTCAGAAAATGTGTGAGGTCTATATATATTTTCACATGCAAAAAAGTTTTATCCAGCACTGGTATTTTCCAGGATCAGCAAACCACTGCATGAACAAATTTTTCTAGGATATTTCACCTGCAGAGGACACAGATGAAAACATTAGTCTCCAGAATATTAAATGGGTAAGACCAAGCTTCTCCTCTCAGCCATCCTCTCTGGTCCTGAGCTCATGCCCAAGATGGAGTCAGAGTAAAGGGAACATGACCCCTATAAAATCTGTGACTCCTTACATTCTGTCTTTATGGAAACCAGATGCTATGATCATTCTTAGATGACCATTTGCCACTTATCAGAAAATCATAGCAGCAGTTTTGCAGGCTCTGACTAGGTATTCTGCCTCTCCATTTTACAACCAGTTTGCTCCTTCACGAGTCTTTTCCTTAAAAATATTTTTCTTCTAAATTCTGGTTAGCTTCCAGTTCCTAGGCTCTCCAAAATTACAGGTGCAACAATGCAAAATCCAATTAGATATTAGGAAAAATAAATTCACAGTGAGGAAGATCAAACAGCGCAGCAAGCTGCACAGGTCAGTGGTAGAACCTCCAACCTGGGAAAAATTGAGTGCTTAACCAGGTATGACTCCAAGCAACCTGATATGATTTGATACTTGCTTCTAAATTCAAAGCTAGATCTGCCTTGAGTGGGAGCTTGAGCCAGGTGACCTCCGTAAATCCCTTTGAACTATGCTGGTTTAGGATTCTATATTTCTGTCTTTGTCAATTGTTAGTCTGTTTTCCAACTCACCTCACATTTTAATTTCTCAATTAAAAAAGATGAGAGCTATTGATCTTTGAAAGTAGTCCAGAATGAAATAACATTAAGAACATCACTGTTTGACTCTAGTACACATAAACCTTAAATCACACATAGCTATGAATGTTTCAGGAAGGAGCATGCAATTTCTTCTTTATCTCAATCTGTGTACGTTTAGGCATTCAGCTGATCCCTGTGGTGATTCAGACTTCCCTATGAAGTACCTAACTAGGCTAAGGAAAGTCAAAGCATGGAAAAATACACCACTGACAGGGCAAGAAGGACTTAAAGAGAAAAGTTATTCTCACAATTGTATGTTGTATGGACCTAAAGATAGATGGAAATGAAAATATTTTCAATGGGGATACCAGAATGATAGGAATTTTTAATAAATATATATTTTCTGTACTCCTAATTACTGAGGACAATTTTAATACTTTCCAGCTCACTAGTAACCTAAGAGAATGGTACATAATATATACAAGGAAAAAAAGTATGGTTTTGTATACAGAAACAATCAGTAAATATAAACATTTTTTTCTCCAAAGATGTAGAATTACCATATAAGGTACCTGTTTATCTCTCAGAAATATCAGAAAAAATTCTGAAAACTGGAACAATGTCTTTAATGCTATTCAAAAGAGGCAAGAAGAATGATTTTCTTACTATAAAACATTGATATTTGATTAATCTGATTAATCCCAGCCATGAACTTAAAGAGAAGATTTTTTGTTATGTTGAACTTTTTGGAAAAGTTAATATGAAGAATTATAACCTTTTCTGTCCCTCTGCTTATCCTCATGTACACTTTTCTTTCTATTTGTTCAACTCTTCCTCCTTTCACTTGTTTGTGAAGCTGCTCCTTGTGAACTGTATCACTGATATAAACAAAGTATAGAAACATTTCCAATTTTTTTAAGTCAGCATGTCATCAAAAACACAATCTCCATGTCACTTGATGCTCCATTTAGCAGTACCAAAGAGATTAAAATAGCATTAAAGTCCATGTTAAAGAATTACAAATTGACTGACAGATCATGTAAAAACTTAAATGGAGTAATCAGGAAGCCTCCTCCCCCTCTCCACATTTTTAGTGATCTTTGTGGATCTGATATCTTTTTTTTTTTTTTCCTTTGGTGATCTGGATGTATAAGATTAATAACCAACAAAAGCTGTTTGTAACAAAGGTAAATTGGAAATAATTAAGAGAATGTGGCAGGTATATAAGATGTAGCTTCATACAGAGATAGATGCTATCCTGGGAAGCAATTACCCTGGATAGGATTTAAGGGCTCTGAGGGTTAGGCAGTAACTAACAAGAGTCCCCAGTGGAATAAGACAGCACAAAGGGCTAGAGATGGATGGATATACAAACCAAGTAATGAGAGGAATGGAGGAATGATTTTACCTCAGTCTGTGGCATCAGTAAGACAGATGATGTAACACAACACACCACTCTGATCCCCATAAATAGTGACTATTGAGTAACAACCATAAGAACAATTCAGGGCCTGGGGAAAAAAGCCTGTTTAGTGAGTGATGGGAAGAGCTCTGTATGTATAATTTCTAACAAAAAATAAGTGGTACTTTTGATTCAGATAATTTCTATGATCTTGCTCATGCTACAGTGCTGGGAGCAGTTTTTTATACATGTGAAATGGGTGGGAATTTTGTGGAAGGGGAAGGAAGAGCAGCCTGGTACAGAGTGGAGAGCTGGAGACAGCTTCCTAGATCAGTCTTCCAGCTGAAATTACCTTCTAAGGAATGACTGCATCACAAGCGGAAAAAAAAAAAAGTAAATGAATTGATACCTGCTGTAAGGTTTATTTAAAAAGCCATGGCTCAGTGATTCTATTATTTTCCTTACAGAAACAACTGGAAGCAATGTGGCTAAAATGCTCCTTGTAAAAACATTATGGAGTTCTAGTCCTCAAGATACAGAACAATTAATGAAAGGAGGTGTAGTAATACCTAAAGCCCAGGATCGACACATATACAAATCATGCAGAAGAAAGGTAAACATAACTATGAGGTTTTTAATTTCTTTCTCTGTCCTTTCTCTTAATATCTTTTTCAGATGTGGTTTAGAATTTAAGCTTTTGCATCCATATTCCACCCTACCCTAAATTAGCATTAGTGTTGTGCTTCACAACTATCAGTAAATTTCTGTCTTCCTTTCTCTGACTACATCTATTTCACTTAAAACAAACAAACAAACAAACAAACCAACCAACCAACCTTGTACCTTTCTTTCACTTCTCAGTGGTGCCTTGTGCTTCTGCTCTTTAGCAAGCACAACGGAAATTGTTACCAGAACTCCTATCCTCTATTACATGTGCAGCACTAATATGAATGTTAACTTTTGCTTCATCTACAGAAAATTATTCAGCCTCCAGAATAGGACAAAACAGAACAGAATATGGTCTGCTAAATTCTGTGAGAGAACTTTTTCTTCTCCTGATTAATCCGTGGCTCTAGAATATAACTGCACCTTTGTCCTAGAAATATCAGTCAGTATTGCTGTACCTACTACACATAAGGAGTCAGACCCCTTTTCCAAGGCAACAGGGAAACTGGTGTGAGTTAGGGATTACATTCAGATTATGTAGTCTCCCCTTTCCAGCTGTACTGTATCTAGTCTATTCACTACAGCAGCCAAGATGATTTACTGAAGAGTAGCAACAGACACCTCTGCCTTGCTCCCGCTCTGGCACTCAAGTCTTTCCTCACTAACTCACTAACCAAGCAGAAATCTACCTAGTTATACCATTAAGTAGATTTTCCAATAGGCTAATTAAATTATCTCATAGAGAAGTCCCATGAGCATGAGAACTAGTACAAAGTTATTGTCACCTGTGCATAATTGAGATGAATGGTGGCCTAACCAGGACCTTCCCTTACAAGATCAACAAGAGGAAAATTGTCACTCTGCATCTCAATTAATTTTTTTCCTGGACAGAGTGATTTAAACACAATTCCTCCTTCTCTTTTTTTTTTTTTTTTTTTTTTTTTTCCTGCAATTTTAAGTGGTACTTTTTATTCAGATGATCACTGAAATGATCACTGAGTCATAACAGGAGTGGTCTAAGCAGATCCCATTCCCTCCTGCTCTTGTCTGTCTCCTTGCCATCATCACCTCAATTAATCAAATACAATCACTTATTCAGCCACAAAATGAGAAATGGACTTGGATTAAAAATAATCCAGTATAAATTTAGAAAACCGTTATTTTTCATCGATTCTTTTCTTTGGTAGAGAAGACAAGTGCCACTGATAAAGGATCTGTAATGAAATGAAAACAAGGGTTTTAAAAATAGATTTGCATAATTGTAGCTCTTTTAATATTGATTACAGTTAAACTTGACTCTTACTGAATCGATCCCAGTGGTTTCAGGGACATTTGGGGGTATGGGAGTTAGAGGTGCCCAAAGCTGAATTTTTGTCATTTTAACTATGAGAAGAAAATTAGAGCTTAAAGCAAGGGGTTTGATCCTGGTGTAATATGCAATAAAAGTTACCTTAAAGTTACTTCTGTCCTGAAGTCATGGAAATGGAGACAAGGAATATATCCGAGTCAGATTCCTTAAAAATAACATAGAATTCACATGATATGTTCCTTTGTTTTTAGTTAATAAATAATAAATAAAAATCCTTCATCAACTTCTGATAACCAGAGATTAATGACTGAAGTAGCTTTCAGCATATCAGTCCATGATTAAAAAAATTAGAAAAGTAAACATGGACCCAACACTGTTTTAATTAATTCTGGCTGATTTTTTTCCAATTTCTGTTTTTAACTGGAGTATGTATGCATATGGATGTGGATTTCTGTGTGTATGAGAAGGAGAAACTCAGATACAGCCACTGTACATTACCCTGTGAGCTGTGCAACAATATTCCTGCTGAGGCTTAGTGCTTTATGCCTATTGCAAACCTCCATCAGCTTAATATGCCAAGATGACACTAACTGACAAAAAGACAAGTCTTATCAGCCACCCGTTCAATTTTCAATTGCTACTTCCTACCTTCAATTGATTTTAAAAAGCTATAGTATTATCTTAAAATTATTGCTAATTTACCTTGCTTAGAACAAGCAGGAATAAAAAAACCTGATGGTCACATCAGTAACCCTGTGATTCAGCTGATTGTTAAAGAAGTATGTTTTACTTCATCTGAACAGCAAAATTAATGAAAGGGAGTTATAAAGACTGACAGATAGAAACAATAAATTTTGGAAGTAATGAAATTGTCACAAAGGAAAGACAAGAAGGAAGATTTAATGAGACAGAATGGACAAGTAAGTAAATTATTTATTTGAAGTCTCCATTCAGACATGACATGCTTCACTGTCTTTCATTAAGCCTTGAACCCATGCACAGGCCTGACCTGCTGCACTGGATGCCCTCACTGTTCTGTTTTCTTCCCTAAATGCATGACATTTATTGCAGACTAGTCATGAGTAGTTGTTTTACCGATAATTTATTGCCTTCATAGTGTTGGCCAATACTGATAGACTCAACCTATGCCCAACAGATGGTTACCTGGTGAAAAACCTGCAGAGATCAGAGGTCTTCTAATAGCATTGTTCAGCTGATGAGCATACAGTCAGAAGATATGAAACTAGATTTCAACTATTTTCACCCAAATTATTTATTCTTGGGTAAAAACACAGCCAGCTGGATTTGATGGGGCAAATACATGCCAGCAGCTCCATGAGCATAAGCAAGCTTATAAATGGCTTATATTTAAGTTACTGAGAAGTCACAGAATATACATGATCTTGGCCTTCTTGGATGGCAAGATGCAGAGAGATTGATACTGTAGATGTAATGAAAGCAGTGGTATTCAGGCTCTGTTACTATTTCATTTGGTTCAGATACCTGATGAGCGACCTTTCCTTAGAAAAAGGTTGGAGCGATCAGCAAGGCTTTAGTATATTCTTTTGACAGAACTAACTCATTTGCCATTTTAGATTTCCTAGCACTACCATGCTTTTTTTCATCTAGGCTACTGGGGTATGAGAAAGAAAAGATGGCAAATTATTTTACAGGCAGGAAATAATTTAAATGAGTTATAACTTATTGCATGCTGAGTGTTCCAGTCATCTATATTGAGGGGACAAGCCAGAGAGAAATTTGCCGCTTCATTCTGTTTCATTTGGTGATTGCATGACTTTCCTTCGTAGCTTTGGGAGTTACATCTGTGAGACATTTTGCCAGTGGTTTGAAGGACAGGTGGGAGCATGAAATCTACTGAGTAGACTGAATCTCCATTTCCAGCATTTCATGGAAAACTAGTGACCATTTTATTTCTACAGTGCTTCTTGTCACAATGACTTTGCCTAGAACACCTCTATGAATTAAAGCAATTCTAAGCAATTTCTTTAGCCCAGAAGCATGGTGAACTGCCAACACAGAATACATTGCAAATTTTACATAGTATGTTGCTAGTCTTTAGTGATCCAACTCTCAAATCAATTACGTCTCCTGGCAAGGAAGCCTTAACGCTCTAAATAATTTAAAGTGCAAACTGTGTGGCATACAATTCCTTTCATCAGCAGCAAGATTGATTTCACCTTGTAGTATCTCTGCCCTACAGAAATGGCCTTTTTTAGTTAAGTTTTCAAAGTTATCACAATAAAGCAGTAAAGTCTGCAGCATGTAACACAAGTTACATCTGTTCTTCTCAGATCGGATAGACATTCATTAGTCAAAGTAAAAAATTACTGAAAAGGCAACATTAAACACTCTTTTCCATTCTCTGTTATAGACTTGCAAGAGGATTTTGTAGAAAATAATTTATTTTAAACATTGATAAAGTTTAGCACTTTTTCAGGGTGAAATTCAGAAGGAAAAGTAGATTATTTCAGAGTACATGTAGAGCTTAGTCAAAATAAATTAATTAAATTTCATTTTGTTAATATGCTTGCCCAAATATCCTAAGTAAAGTTGATATGCCAAGCAGATCTGTATGGATCCACTATACAGATATACCTTTTTTGAACTTAAGGGAGGACTGTGAGCTCTTTATTTGAACCCAGTGTCCAGTAAGCTCTTGATGATTTTACTTTTCATAGTTATGAAAACATTCTCCATTCTCCTTTCTCCTTCCCAGAACTCTATATCAGAAAACACCTCAAACTTAGAATGCCTTTGTCAGTGTAGTTTCCCCATGGCTGTACTTGGTGCTCAAATGTGAAGAAAGAAAAGTTCCAGAGCTGCTAGGGGTTTATACAGCATATCCTTAAGATCAAAGTCAGCTTTCTGTGGCTACTTTGACAACATATTGCCCTAGTAGGCAATCTGCTTCCTACACTTAATCTAAGCAGATTTGAGGAAAAATAATATTCTTCTTTAACACATACTGAAAAAAGACTGCTTTTTATTAAAATAATAAAAATTGCACTACCTTTTCAGTTACAGAATATGCAATTGGTTTTGGCAAATAAAGGCCAAATTTGAAAAAAAAAAAAAAAAAGTAAAAATAATAGTTTACTCAGCTTTAGGATTACAGTCAAGGGCACTCTAATCAGCTACACATTTCTCTGCTTATGGAATAGCCTTTGAAAGCTGAATGGTGAATATGGCTTACAACTGTGATCTGGGAGCCCAGAAAGAAATAGATTTCATTAAAATTGAAGCTGTATGGCTACCTATTCCATTACTACATCAGAAGGGCTGATGTGTTTGCATAGATTTAAAAAAAAAAAAATTAGGTGTTTTTTTGCAAACCTTGCAGATCTCAAAGGTAGTCCTTGGACAAAGTCAGACAGGAATTTTAGCACAGAGAACCTCATTTGCACTATGTATAGTGCTCTTTATTTCTAGACCAGTTTGATTGCAGAATACCATCATTAGAATAAAATCTGAAGCATCCCATTGTGGATGACAATCTTTCCATTGACTTCAATCTCTGAATCAGGACTTTTTTCTGTAATTTAACAGTAATTCAAAAGAATAAAAACCTGAATATCTTGAAAAATACCCCCAAACTGAAAGGGGTCATTCAGTCATTTTTGCCAGGTCTTCTATTTTATTTTCCTACTTGATGTCTATTTTCTCTTACGTCTTTCACATCCCATGCTGCAGCATCCACAGAACCCTTTTAGGCGTAAAACACCTGAAAAAATGAAATGATAAAGAACAAAGCTGATTTTTTGTTCTGTACATACTAATATAAAAGTGTTCTGACCTTGCTTTAAAGTCTAAAATCAAACCCTATATAAAATCCAGATAATGAAATATATAAGAATTACACAAAACTGAATATTCATGTACTAGTCAATGCTTCCATATAACCATGTATACAAAAGTCATGCTGCATATCTTCTAGCTCTACTCACTGGGTCATGCTGTCTAAAGATCTGTGACTTCTATTTACCATAACTACACAGACCTTTCCTTTATCATTCTGCATAAAGGGGCAAAACAGACCATTGTTCAACAGCAGAAAAGAGGACACTCTACACACCTACAGTTTTGACTTTTGAGTAGATCGACAGACTGCTTAGACCAATGCTCTACTATGCTGCCATAGCAAATCAGAGTGTAAGTTAGAATCAAACTTCATATTCAAATATGATTTTTGCCACACTTGTCTTTGGGATTGCAGGAGGAGGAGATATTCACATTTGCCTCAAAGACAGAGACTCATAAAAATACATTACTATCTTTTACTATGTTATTGTCTTTTCTTTCTCTGAGAGAAGGAGAGCAAAAACATAAAATGAGCCAGCTGGGCTTCCTGCCCAGTCCTGGGTACTCTGTTTTAAATAAAATACCTGTCAGCATCTTTGTCAGTGTGAAAGGAGACTTTACTATCTAAAAGATGACTGCATGTTTTCAGTGCACTCATCATCTAAATCTGAGAAGTTTATTACTTTCAGTGGATTTCCATTAAAATCAGGACCACTGCAATCCTGTCCCGGAGGGATTGATAGATGCATAGCTGTTTCTAGAAATAGGTTTTCAAATGTTAGTGCAAAGACTGTGATCTTGGAAAAGGCTTCAGTGAATCAATCCCAGTTTTAGAGAGGGAAAAAAAAAACTTTGGGAGGAGTTTATTTAAGTTTTTTGTTCTATAGTGAACAACAATTGAACTTGAAGGGGAAAACTTTAGTCACCATCTTCTTAGACAGAGTTACAGTGGCCCACTTTCAATCATCTGTAGCATAAAAGTTTCTTATATTGATGCAAGTGCCCTATTCTTGTGAATCTCACTAAGCTTCTGTAATTTTTCTCATAGCAGCAAATTTGACAGACTAATTAAATGTTTTGCACAATGGATATTTTTTCCAGTTTGAATTGTGCTGTGTTTCAGTTTCATCGACTATTCCGACAGTGTATAAAGCACCATTTGATTTATCTTTTTTAGCTCATCCTCCTTTAAATTTATGTTCATACATAGACTGACTTATCCACCAGTTGCATTAATTAGCAGGAATTGCATTTTCAAAATCATATAGATTAAACTTTCTCAAAATACACAACAGATTTAGAAAGTCTTACTTGATAATCATCTTTTGTTCTGTTTCATCCTTATGAGAGGCTTTCTGGAGGTTTTAGCTGCTGAGACACCATCACAATCCGTAGGAAGAAGATAATGAATTATGTCATCAACTTTTACAAACAGATAGTTTCTCAAAATGCCAGTTTTCAGTCAAATTCTTCTGCTTATTTGTTTTCAGTGTAAACAGTATTGCTGTTTATACTCCTATAACCATAACACACATGACTAAGACAATAAATACTGTTCTCTTTCTTAACCTTCTCTTCTGCTGATAAAAAAAAGACATCTGTGTTTCCTTTTAAATCTACTACTTAACTACATGGTTTACACATTACACATTACCAAGACCCCTTCTAAGACTTAACAAGGCAGGAAATATGTCAAGTGCAGCAGTCAACAGGGGAAACAAAATGCTTATTTGAAGAGGTGAAAACAAAACAAGGTAAACTGTTGTGTAAATTATTAATCATTTGCTTTGGAGCTTTATTGTTTTTACACATATAGCCTATGGTTTTCTAACTGGGGATCCACCTGATGTTGTCAGAAGCAGCCTATAAATGAAAAGTGATCAAATACATGTGATCTGGCCTCAGAAATATTAGTAAAATTAGATTCCATGGGAATAAGTTCCCCTTTAAACAGGAACTGCCTATATCTTTTAAGTCAATAAACTCCCTCAGGCTACCACCTCTGCTGCTCAACCTTCAATTCTTCACTTGAACTTCAGAGACAAGGGATGTGAATTACTACACAGATGAATAATGATTATTCACCACAACCATCTTTCCTAAAAAACAAGTTGTCTCACTGGACAGGACATAAATATTAATAAAAGCCATCATTGCAGGAATCAGTGGCAAGATCAGAGAAATGAGAGGTAGCCACAACCTATGTAGTAGAGCTTGCCTAAGGGGAAATGATACTACCTTGGCCACGGTGAATCTGTGTATCTATGATAAATGCAGAAAGTAAATCTCAGTATTCAAAAAGGGAGTGAATTAAAAAGGTTATTGATACTGTCTGGTGTAATTTGCATTTGTGGGGCCAACATTTACCTTACCACATCCTCCATTTTAGAAGTAAGATGGAATTTTAAATAAACAGAAAAATCAACAATCCTTTTGTTTAGCTGGGTGGATGCAAAGGACTTCCATTTGAAAGGCCAGGGTGTGTTTAAATAGCATCTCTAATCATACACCTTACTGCTAGGTTTAGCACAGCAAGGCACACATTATACCTCGCACAGATTGCAGCAGAAGGAGTGTAAATGTCTGCCCATTCCTCTTCATCTCTCCCTATCACATTCTTGCCTCTCCTTCTTCAGGCTCTGGATCCTGGGAAAAATTTGGAGCCCTCTCAAGCTGAAATACAAGTAAGAAATTGCTTTAACTCATGACTGCACCAAATATCTCCTTCCCTCTTCCCTCCTCAAAATTCTCACTAATACAAGGATAGGCCAGAGACTCTTACAGGTTTCACCACAGGAAAATAAAACATTCCAGCAGGAGTTGTTACTGAACATCTAGAAAACTGAATGACAACATGTTCTTCAGGGAAGTGGAAGACCCAAGCTTAAATCTTCTCTGTCCTATCTGATTCAGGTATTTAATCCCAAACTTTGTAACCTGAATCAGTTCTGGGACTGCATCTTCCCTTCTCTACACCTGAAGCTGTGTGATGTAGTGTATAACTGATACGACTTCGAATAATTTTGGAAAAAAATAAATACTGGTTATCAAACTACTTAAAATTAAAAGAAAAATCCACCTCTAATGACAGAGTTAGGATCATACCGTGTATGTATGTTATTGTCTAACTTTCTTAGCCCCACAAACTAATATTTTATTATGAAAAATATGTTTTTCAAGGCTTATTCTTTGCAAAATCTGGAGAAAGAAATGGAAAATTATGTCTTTATGCCATTACTAGGTACAGAAGAAAGCTAGACTTTTCTGTCCTCTCTATACTGATGACACTGTGGATCTGCATATGCTGGTTTGGAAAGTGATATTTAAAAAGTAATATGCACTGTTATATGTTCTGAGTAGCTCTACAGGGAGGAGGGATTACAACAGAGATGGCATCAGAGAGTTATGAGCATCTCTAAGCACCAGAAGTTTATTCTAATAAAAGTACCATGAAAAGGGATAGTAATGACTCTGTGTCATCTGCATGAAGTTATTGGAAAAAATGGGATGCTTGCAGTTTTGTTGCTGATGATCCTCCCTCCATGGGATAATCTTCCTGTCCTAAATTTTCTTCTGAAAATCCCATAATTTTTTTCAGCTTACAAAGACTAGACAACTTTTTATCAATTGGAATAGCATTCCATTACCAGGAGTTCAGAGCGGAAGAAGGGGAAGGGACTGCTCTCTCTTAAATGAATTTGGCATGGGTGGGGAATACTAAATTACAGGGTATTTTAAAATGAAAAGAAAAAAAAAATTATAGACCAGAATATGGGAGACCTTCAGAGCCTGTAAAACTACTACAGCAGGAACTAGAGATTTGATAAAACTAACATGTCATTTACTTCATGAACTTAATATCATTCTGCAGTACAAAGGGATTCATGACTAGCAGTAAAAAACATCTCAAAAGACCTGGCAATATGAAATTATATAATGATATGAGTATGTAAGAGTAAAATGCTGTTAGAGTAATGATTTATACAGATTACAATTTTGCACAGACAAAATGCTTTATGTATGTTGGAGTCCACTTATAAACTGGGAAAACTTGCTACAGAAGGTTTTCATGTGGACAGAGTTCCAATAAATGCTCTCCTGTGTTTAATTTTTTACTCCACTATGACTCAACATGTACAGATGAGTTAAAAAAGCCAGATATATAGTAGAAGAAGGATGAATGAGCACACATGAAAATATTATAATGCATAAACATAATTTAAGGAATGTAAAAAACCCCATGGATATCATAATTGTAGTGTGCAGGAAGCCAGGTCTGAGTATTGGAATCATCAATTATTTTTATTTTTGTTCCTATTTTAAAATGTTCCTAAATTGTTCTCAAATAAAAATATATAAAAACAACTACATACAATAACAATAGTACAAATGCCTGGCTTTGGTCCAAAGTGATATTCAATTCAACACAAGAAATCTGTACACAACAGAAGCCCTGATCTTGGCTCTTGAGGCTAAGACTCTTGGTGCTTCTGTATTCCAGATATTGCAGGCACCTTTGCTAATGACACACTGATGCAAAGTTCTCTGTGTATTCTTCTACTGTTACTAACTTAAGTAAAATACTAAAGCACATATTAAAAATTTGCTCTTAAAATTAATTATTATGCTGTATACAAAGAATTAATAATAAAGTTTGGAAACAAAATTTTTTTTTAAATGTTGGAATTTCCCTAGGGCAAAAATTCTGAATTTCACTCAGAAATGCAAATATTTCCAGTAGTGGACAAGACACTCAGCCAACCTGTTGCAGTTGACTCCCTAAGAGAGGAGGGTTAGATTAGATGACTTCCAGAGTTCTCTTCCTATCTTTTTAAAATATTATTATTATATACCATAAATATAAGAAATATAAGCATAAATATTTGCACAAAACGGCTGTCAGCAGAGAGCCACAATAAAATCTATTACGTAAGTAAATATTTTTTCCTGTGACATACCTTTCTTCATTTACTGTTAAAAATTTTCCACAGTCAGAATCAAAGATTTTAAATTGTGGATCTATACTTTACTAATGTTTTATTTAGGAGAACTCTCCCTATTTGCCATTTGGAGATAGAAGTAACAAAAAAAAGTGTTAGAAGAAAAAATGGAAGAACGAGAGCTAAGACCTAGTATTGAGAAGGTAGATTTGAGCAGATGATTTTGATAGATAAGATACTAAAGTTAATCTGAGCTACACTTCAAAAGAAAAGACAATTTTAGAGACAGTGAAAAAAGGGATCAAGTAGAAATTTCTATTAAAAAATTAATGCTTCTTAGAAGGGTTTTGGATTGGTTTAAAGGAAGTGAGATGGGAGGAAAACGGTATCAAGGCATGAGAAAATAACATTTTTCTGAGGGGATTTAGAATTACCTATTCATTTCTCCTTACAGTTGTCTTTTTGATTTGCTGTGAAACGTTGAATATTGTGTAAACAGTTAACCTTTTTGATGAATCCTTAACGTCAGTACTGTGGTGGTGCAATTCACCCCCACCCTTGCTGGACCACTGGGTGCTTGGTATGATTCTACCCCTCTCCTGAGCCACATACCAAGCCAGGGTGGTATGGATTGCAAATGGCAGAGGATGACAGCATTAAGGCACTGCTTGACGTGCCTGGCTCCTTCTCTCCCTATCGCTTGGGAGCGGTAATATCTGTCCGTCAGCTCCTGACAGCCTAGTACATCTGTAGCTGGGACGTGGCTGAGGGAGGGTGATAATAGAACTGCACATCCAGCAAGTTCTGGGCCTCTGCAGCTGGTAGAAATCACCAGAATATTTCTTCACTTGAGTTGGGCTGGAGTGGAAAAGTACTTGATGAAAATCAGTTATCTTAGACCCTATAAATAGCGACCCTAAGTGAGACCCTTTGAGCCCTCCTGGATTGCAGTGAGCTGTGATCAGCATCTCCCCTGAGCTTTGACACCTTTCAGGTATCCACTCCTCGAGGTACCATCTGCTGTCAAAGATGACAAAGGGCCAGGGCGAAGTCGACCCCCTCAAGTCTCAATTATCATCCGTTGAGGTATGCCGATGCATTTTATTTACTCTAAAACTGAGAAGAGGGAAATTTTAATTGTAGGCTAGCTTCTCTTTCATCCACCTCTCTGCCTATCTATGTGTTTGGATATACACAGTTGTTTCCATGAGTGTGGGTACATACATATTTCACTGGATCCAAATGTTTTTGTCTGTGTGTTTGCATGTCTTGATTTTATGAAAACATATATATATAGAGAGAGAGATATTTAGGATACCTTATAGTAAGTTAGTGTGAAACTTTTAATTTTTGAATCTGCATTTGCTATTCTAATCTGAACATATTCTATGGAATTACTTTGTAAATCCTCAAATTGGTTAATGATTAA